CACCTGTAAACCTTTACTTAGTGTGATTTGTCTATTTTATTTTTTTTTATTGAAATATTACTAATATTTTCCAAGTCTTTTTCATATTCCAGTTCTTAGGAGAAAAAATTCTAAGAACCATCCACATTTCTAAACTTGTGACATGATATTCAATCTTTTTCAAAGAAAAAAATTGTTTGTATCGATCATCTGTCCTTAAATCCTACTTTAAATGATTATTTAAACATATATATATATATAAACAATAAAATGTCTTTCTTTTTTTGTAATCACTGGAATTAACGGTCGCAGCTATTGCAGAAAAATTGTACATAACCCGCGTAAGCGGGTTATGTATTTTTTCTGCAACAGCTGCTTCCGTGAATTCCAGTAATAACAAACAAAGAAATCATTTTATTGTTTAAATAATCCAAAATTCAAAAATTATAGGCTTAATCCTATTGAGGTTTCTGAAGACACTACACCTTTTAGCCTCATTGGAAAAGGGCGAGAAAAAACAGAGAAGGTAAAGGAAAATTAATTTTGTGATGTACTCGGTAAATCTGAAGAATAAAGGCTGAAAAACACGAGAGGACGCAGACTATATGTGAGAATTGAGACCTGCATATTTGTGTAAATTTTATTTCTTTAAACAGTGATATAAAGACTGTACATTTGAAACTACACGTGATACAACATATTATCAGTGATATTATGGTTTAAGCTTTTTGAAAGTTAAAAACGTCAAAATCACCAGCTTCATATGAATGGGAAATTTATGAAAGCATAATTATTATCTAAATATTCAACGTCGAAAAATGAACTCTGGGGGCAAAAATTACATAAATCACCTTCTAATGATTCTCCATGATACCTTTTAAATCTAAATTGAGCAAGAATACATTTTTAAAATTTTTCGAGATCCATTCCAAGGTTCGCAGCACTGTTAAGGCCTATTATGAGAAATCAACGGAAAATGGACGTGCAAAAAAGGAGACCTTTTGAAAATGAATTTATTTTAATTATGCTGTTTTATTATCACACAACACAAATACATAGAAATAGCATAGTATAACCCACTCTCTACTGTATGAAGTTTAGTCCCATCAATGGACAGTCACGTGATGAATGCATAGTTCTTGTACTAAATGTAGGTCATTAACAAATTTCAATATCGCAAGAGCATACTCTAGTTGAAATTAAAAATTCAAGTTATTACTAGTTTCTGCATACTTTGTAGTTTCTGAAAAGTGCTGCTGCTTTGAACAGAATTCGCGTTTTAATAGTTAAATTTTTAGGTAAATAAGCCATTGTCGAAATATGTTTGACTTTTACCAAATATTTTGTGTACTTATAAAATTACGCCCTCGATTGAAAGAAAGCAGCAGCACTTTTCAAGTTAAGAAAATGTCCTTTATCTATATTCAAAAAATGGTTAAGATCTATTAAGTGTATGCCCTTGTGAAAATGCCATTTTATGAGGCATCTCGATGTAAAATACACGTAACCTGTACATAAAAACACGACATAATTAATAAAATACATTCTCTTGATAGTAAATTAAAAATCGCACTAAACAAAAGATATGCATTGGTATTAATCGACTATTTAAAACCTGTAAATAATATTCCGTTTAATAATAAAACGCTTTTTTCATTCTTAAAAAAATCCTCAATCTGCCTCTCATGAAATACGTCATTTTTACCAAAATGACGCCATGTTTACAAGTTCATCGCGATCAGTGCTTTGTCTATAACCAGCTACATGGGATTTAACTAGCAAGTTTTTTTTAAATGCATTGATAAGTTTTATTGTTGTTTATTTGCTAATAAAACAGTTAAAAGTTGCAAACTATTTCATTTTCAGGTATAATGAGAAATTCATAAATAAAGTTATATTTTTGTGTGACGTCACAGTAAACATTTCCGGTATAAAATAGGCCCCGCCCCCTTATTCAAGCCATTACAATGCTGCGTTGTTTTCAGTATTTACAGGTGTTTTAAAATCTAGGTATTTGGTTTACCTTAACCAGTCGTTCACTCTCATGTTAAGAAGCAATATTTATTCAGGTTAACAATTTCAAATGGTAATATCCTGTAATAAATATTTTTAGCATTGACTGATTCAAAATAATGAACAGATTTGCTACGTTCAGCAATATGCATACTTTAATATTTGTTTATATTCATAATGTTCATCTCAGTGGAAGTTAGTCGCAAGTGAAAAAGCTATCCAAACCTAATTTTATTATTTTGGAATTTCCATATCTTTTTTTTTTTTTTTTTGTTTGACCTATGTAAAGAAAATAAATGTTTATATTCACCAAAAATATCATGTGCAGGTAAAAGTAAAGATTATTTTTTACCCGTGAACCTGTTCTTTGCATTTATATATAGAAGTTTTCCTGGAAACATTCGGCAAACCTCGATCGAAGCTGTAACCTCTGAAGTAACGAACGTTTTTTATTTCAGCTATAAAAAAATCGCATATGTAATATAGATACGATCTGTGAACCAGTAGTAAACCAGCGAAATGACTGCTCAAGTGCATGGCTTGTAATTGTAAGCTATTTATTTTCGTTGAATGTACTTTCGGTTTGTAAACTTTCGAACATCTGGTAAGTTTAAAGTAAGTTTATTTGATGTCGAGGTAATTTGGGTGACATTCATTTCATTAGCAGAATTTTGATAAGATTTTTTTGATTTTTAAGATAAAACCTTTCACTATTTGCTAATTGTGCTTTTCATTTTTGTTTTAATGTTCACACCTGTATTTCACAGACTGGTCTCTCAAGAAATTTAATTCTTTGGTCCATCTGATCATTAGATAATTTGATCATTTCCTTTTTTACTACAGTTGTCTGATCTTAAACTTTTGTTCTTACTTTCATTGAGAGTTGCGTGTTTTTATTGGTTTACCAACTATAGGCGATTCAAATGTAAATACATGTAATACGTAAACAAAAAGGTTTAAAAAATAATTCATTTGTAAGTAATTTCATTTGCAAGTGTCAGTCAGATAATTATCAAACTTTAACTGTATTTGCTTGCCGAAATAATATTTCCAGGTAAGTTGGGTAAAAAGATATTAATCATTCAAACTGTTATCACAGGCTTCATTGTCTTCTGAAAGGACTATGATACATGATAGGACACATGATAATTTTATATCTTTATTTCTTATTATTTTCTATGTGATAACTCTCGGCAATTCAGGTGAAATGATTTTGGATGTTCAACCGGAATGTAAAATTTTCCAGGTGAAAGGTCATGAGCCTTCATTGTGTGTCAATTCCGTACGGCTATCTTTGTTTTTTATGTCAGTAGGCGCGGACAATGAAATAAACATGGGTGGCTGGTGTATTTTATAAACCTAAATTTGCAATTTTATTACAGATATTAATCTAAAAAAAAGAAATTGTGCCGTGGGAAATTTTATGCACAACGAACTACGCCCTTCTGATCAACAGAAAGCGATTTTTAACCATATGAATAATTTTGGTAGTAGCTTGAATAATGGGACATAATTCAATCGTCGCTACTTCTTAAAAACATAAGGTCATATACAAAAATGAAAACATATTAGAGTATGGAGCACAATTGTGGCAACTTAAGATTCCCTTTAGCAATCCAATTCAAATGCATGATATTAATGCTTTGAATTCAAATGAGTTACTTAATCTCAATGAAATTTAATTGCTTTTTTTATGCCCCGCCATGAATATGGCTGGGGCATATAGTGTTCGTCATGTCCGTCTTCCGTCCTTCTGTCCTTCCGTCATTCCGTCTAGCTGTCCTTCCGTCCTTTCGTCACACTTTGCGTTTAGCTCTGTTTAAAGCTAAGTTTCAAAGAAACTATCCAAGATATTTTCATCAAACTTCATATGCTTATAGATATTGATTAGGGCTATGCAACTGCATCAACATTTTTTTACCTTGATTTTTCTTTTGACCTTGACCTCACTTTTCTTAAAATAGTGTTGAGCTCAGTTATAAACATACCATTCAAGATGGTGTTATCAAACTTAACATGTTGATACAAACTTTCACGGATGATGCATGTAGGGATGAACACTACCAGACTTGCTTCGGATGCTGGATCTGACCTACATTTTCCAGATGAGTGACCAGGTTAAAGTTTTTGGAGCAGGTCCATTTACAAGGAACTATAAGCCCTACCTAAACCTAACTTTCATGGATGATGCTTCAAGGGATGAACACTACTAGACTTGCTTCGGATGCTGGATCTGACCTACATTTTCCAGATGAGTGACCAGGTTAAAGTTTTTGGAGCAGGTCCATTCCAAAGGAACTATAAGCCCTACCCAAATCTAACTTTCATGGATGATCCTTCTAGGGATGAAAACTACTAGACTTGCTTCGGATGCTGAATCTGATCTATATTTTCATTCCCTAATAACTATAAGCCCTGCCTGAACCAAACTTGCATGGATGATGCATCTAGAGATGGACACTACCAGACTTGCTTCAGATGCTGGATCTGACCTATATTTTCATTCCAAATCCCTGTCTGAACCCAACTTGCATGGATGATGCATCTAGGGATGGACACTACCAGACTTGCTTCGAATGCTGGATCTGACCTACATTTTCATTCCAAAGTAACTATAAGCCCTGCCTGAACCAAACTTGCATGGATGATGCATCTAGGGATGGACACTACCAGACTTGCTTCGGGTGCTGGATCTGACCTATATATTTTTATTCCCTAGTAACTATAAACCCAACCTGAACCAAACTGATCAAATTTTATACACATACAAATTTTCATGTTGCTTTACTAAAATATCTTCGGCGGGGCATTCATGTCCTATGGACATATTTCTAGTTTGATATGTTTTGGTTTTCATATAACAAAATAATTAAAAAACAAGATAATATTTATACATCATTGTTTGTTGATTTTTCTACATCAGCCCAAGTATAGTGCCATTTATGAATTAAACAACTTGGTTCTCTGAATTTGATTCCAGTTTCTTTTTGTATTGTGATAACGTAACAGGTACACATAACAGTTGATTGGAAAGTTGATAATGACAACCGAAAAGAAGAAACATACTTTACATCAACAAGTCAATAATGAAAATTATACATTTGATAAAAGCAGTGATTTTGGGTGTTGTCTTATAATTAAAATTAACAAAACAACGAAGACAATAGGAGGTGGCCATTCAATACAGAAATTTCGAACCGGTGCTGAGGCAGAGGTCCAGGAACTACAAGATGTTTTTCGAAAGCCAATTTACGAAACAAAAGTAATCGAAGAGAAAAATGAAATAAATTATGTGATTCCTGATGTAGAAAAATATATCATAAAAAACGATGGTAAGGGAGTTAATGAACTTTTCTATAAAAAACATAAAAATCAAGATAAAATAATTTTCAGAATCAGTTCTGGAAAACTTTTATGAGCCCATTCATAAACAAACTTAGCATGGCTTACGTAATTAGTGATGCTAACTACCACAGATGCCTCAGGTTCTGTATCTTTTATCTTTGAAGGAAATTTCCAAGCATGCAAAATTTTTGCATGTGTTGTATTAGCGTTTGGAGGACAAGGGTTTTTCTATGACAGCACAGGCAACAAAATTTCAATGTCCACAGTCGTGAGGAAATTCCAGTCTCGTCCAGCACTTCGACTTAAGCCAAAGTTGTTTGTTGTTCAGGTAGATATTATACAGACCCTGAGACGTGCTACTACCCCAAAAAAGCGTGTGACTTTCGTGTACTTTCCGTTTCGTGCAAACCGTGTAGCGTTTCGTGCAAACCGTGTAGCGTTTCGTGCAAACCGTGTAGCGTTTCGTGTAAACCGTGCAGCGTTTTGTGTAAGCTGCAAAGCGTTTCGTGCAAACCGTGTAGCGAGCGTGCGAGAAGCGTGTGAGAAACGTGCGACTTTCGTGTACGAACCGTGTGAGAAACGTGTGACTTTCGTGCAAGAATCGTGTAAGATTCATTCGACAGTCATTTCATTTTAAATATGGCTATCGATGGGTCAGGATGTGAAATTGTATTAGTATTTCATTATTGAATTAGTTATGCTTGTGATATTTTAGGAGTAAAAAAAAATGGAACAACAAAATGAAATTACAGGGTAATGTATAATACATAATTATTATTTGTTTGTTTCTTTTCCCTCTGAAGAAAATGTGTTCAAATTAATCAACTATGTACAACAATTTTAAGGGCATTGAATTCAATATACTATCAACGCGATCATGGCTTCTTAAATATTTTTTCTCAAAGAAAGAAATACCGGTATTATTCTTTTTTTTTTTAAAGCAAAAATATACCAGGACTCCGCTGTTGTCTTTACATGTAAAGTACGTGAAAGAAAGTTTCGAAACGATGTTTCATTTAATATCTTTTAATACATAAAATTTGTTGTTCATTATTGTCAAATAAATGGATTATAATTTTAATTCACATGCATTGACGACCACATGTTTAGAAACGGGGGGGGGGGGGGGGGGGGGGGTGTTAAATAAATTACTAGTACAGTCTTTCATATTTTGTTGTCACTTGAAATCTAATGTTAGTTTAAATAAATGCTTAATTTTCTATTCTTTTTTTTAAATCCTTTGTTAAATATGTGCGCAGATACACCCCTTAAAAATATATTGGAATCTTCTTTCCGCCTTTCAACTGTGATCAAGGTCATTTACAACGGCAATCACGGGCTCCGAGTGCATGGCAACTGAAAACCTGTTTTGCTATGTGTACATGTTGAGTTCGCGGCTTAATGACACCTGACGACTGGGTTTTATTTATTTTTTTTTATTTATTTTTTTTTTTTGAAATAAAATGGTTCTATTAATATTTAATGGGTACAGCTCATATATCAGCGGATTTCATCTTTTATTTGTAAATCCGAATTTCTAGCCGTAAACAGTAAAATAAACAGAACTGATTTGGTAGTCTTTTCATAAAAATCATTGTAAGAAAAGTTTAGGAGTAAATCATGAATAATTGTATATTATTTGTTTTATAAATCACGTTCTTCTTATTTCATCTAAAATGTTTCAGTTTTCTTGTTATATACCTGAATGCCGGTGTAAAGATGTACAATGTACAATGTATAGTCAAATGCCGCGACTATTAATTATGTACACTTATACGTCTAGTCGTGTTTTGAAATAAAGGACTTTACTGTATGATGGGTATACTGATGTTATTTGATAAGCTTCATCTAAAAAGAGAATAAATATAGATTAAGACATCACATTTACCCCCCCCCCCCCTTACCGGTGTCCCTCCTAGTATAGATAATGCTTACGTAAGATAAAAAAATCTTTAAAAATGTATCAATAATCGTAAGTAGAGTGTATAGACAAATTTAATTTTATTACTAAATCAAAATCAAGAAAAACAATCCCCCTACGGAAATCAAACACAATATAATCATTAATTAATGTTATTTAAAATCAATGAGTACATATTCCTGCAGTAAGAAATCGAATTTTTGTTTAATTTATCAAACTATACTCGTAAAAAATATCTAAATACAAGAGATACATTGTAATGAATGACTAATATATAAAAATTGTATTTCATCAAACAGTCATTCATATAATCGGCATTTCGTTTTTAAACATTTTAATAAATAAATAAATACGAAATGACAATTATTTATTAATTTATTACAACTGTCAGAGTATGAAATATTTCTATTGGTTTATATGACACTAATGTACTGATATTTAATTTAAGCAGCTGCTAAATTTTACTTTGTGAAAGATTTCCATTTTATTAATGATAAAAAGGTAATAAATTTTTATTAATGTCCGAGATATTCCGAGTAGTAAATCCAAACCAAGGCCAAACGTACGAGAATCGTGTACAAAGCGTGTGAGAATCATGTACAAAGCGTTTCGTGCAGCCTTTCGTGTAAACCGTGCAGCCTTTCGTGCAAAGCGTTTCGTGTAAACCGTGTAGCGTTTCGTGCAAACCGTGTAGCGTTTCGTGTAAACCGTGCAGCGTTTCGTGCAAAACGTGTAGCGTTCGTGTACCGTTCGTGCAGCGAGCGTTTGGGGTAGTAGCACGTCTCAGGGTCTGTAGAACCTAAAATCACATTGATTAAATGTTAATATCAGTGTGAAAGCCTTTGAGATTCAAAGCATTAAAATCTCTATTTCATTCTTTTAAAATTAGACTATAGAGCGAACAATTCATTTTAGCTATTTCACAAACTTAATCAAATAATTTAATTAAATCAAAGAGCGTTTATTGACCCCAACTACACGTAGCAGTGTGATGCATGATATTTTGAATCATATTTAATTGATTCGGGCAGAAGAATTGAAAAAAAGATGTTATGTTCGAAGCTGAATTATTCATTATTTCATATGTTAGTGTTGCGGTGTTTTATATACACTGTATACTGATTGCATTTCCTTTTTAAATATACTTTCTAGTTATGTGACATTAATTTACAACCTGTTGGGAAGCATGTTTTTGCTGAGGTAGAAGGGGGATCTTATCAACCTTCGCCTCTATGGCCTCGAGAAGCAGATGTTCTTATCTATGAATCCAACATTACAGATTTGTCATGCTCTAGATTTGTACATGGCCTTTCAATTGATTTCAAAGTACACTTGAGCAAAAGTTTCTAAATAATATAATTTTTCATAAGACCATTCCGAGTTTTATCATGACGGATCGATTTGAGGTTATGAAATTAAAAACTCACACAAATCAAAATTAACAAATACTAATCTTTGAAACCAGAGTGTTCAGAATAAGTACTTATACTTTCCTTATCTAAGGGCTAGCATGATAATCAAAATTAGTGTAATGTTCAGTTAAAACTGAATTGACAGCAATACTTACATTACCAATCTATCTTTAATGAAGGAGAATATGAATGGCATCCAGATCTGATCAAACATTATGCAGGGGAGATACCAGGGACTCTTCGATCCTGCACTTTCATCAAATACTTTTGTAATACTATGAAAAGTTTACAAAATAAGATAGATTCCGTAGAAAAAAAAGAAGAAAACAGAGGAAGGAAAGAAAGAATCTAAGGATGCAAAGGAGAAAGATTCCAAGGCTGATTGACAGAATGATGCGACAGCTGAAGGTAGGCATAATCCCAAACAAAAAGAGAAGAGAGATCTCAAGGAGGAAGCGAAGAATAATACCAAGGCTGGGGAGCTGAATGATCCCAAAGGTGAGGAGATGAATGATCCAGAGAATAAGGGAAAAAATAGCACAACGAAGGAAGAGAAAATGGACCCCAAAGAGGGAATACAAAATTACTTTGAATTTAATGAGGTTATTCTGAGAACAAATTCAAAATTGTCAACTTTCATTAAAGATAGAAATAACTAGGATCTGAGAGATGGAGCATGGAGCACTACTCCCAGAGTGCCTGTTGTAACAGATCAACTGGTCAAGTACCTGTATCCTCCTCGATTTTATCCCCCTAAACCGGAGAAGAAGGGGATATAGTCAAGCAATTATACTTGTTTGTTGACTGGTAAGCTAGTTACTTCTGTGCGAACGAAAGTGATTAAATTTGCATGTTCTTATCGAGGGAGTGCTCCCTCTTGCGGTGTCCTTGTAATTAATTCATTTCATCTGTGTTTCTAATGGCGTCATCAATTTACAATATTCATCTGTAAAACCAAGCCTCAATTAAAAAAAACAGCATAAAATTTTCATGGTACTGTTTGTCTGTTTTTTCTTTAAAAACCTTCTCGAGAATTTTATTTATATTGACACGTCACTACTTGCCAGTAGAGAGCTACAAATTTTTAAGCTATACTCGGCACTCTGGGCCATTGAGCGGCGAGAAAGGTTTGTCATGCCCGAATCTACTGTTACCTCGGTTTATATGGTCTAATCGTAACGACGGTTTTATAATTAGATTTTTTCTCTTATGTCAAAAATCAAAACCATCAGTAAAAAGTTACTGGTGTTAGTGTAGTTGCTCATTAGCCTGTTTATCTCCTTTTTCCCCTGTCGAAGTTTTGTTTTGGCTGGTTGAAACTTCCCCTTCACTGTACTGCATTTACTTGCCTGCTTCACATATTATAATATACTCTGTCTTAATTATTTCTAGGATGATAGGTTGTTTTACTTTTGATGTATTTTTCAAAATATTAAATGCATTTTCCATTGTCATCAAAGTAGTGAAATGATTGTACCTTCTGGTACAAAATAATGACACTATTCTGAGACATTTTGTTTCCTTTCAATGTACATTCAAACTTTGTTATCTCAAACCTGATAGGACTGTAAAAAAACTTCGAGAAACTCGAGGATACAAGATATGGAAGGTTAAATACTTAAAGAATATGTGGTTTGGACTTCGCAATCACTTCGACATATCCAAGGTATTCGAGATATCGGAATTCGAGATACAAAAGTTCATCTGTATATTTCACAAAGTCACACACAACAAATGTGATAAAAATAAAGAAATCAATTAAATTTCGAAGGTAATGATGAGATTGAGCTGTCCCTTATCTTAAAATTGTACAGTTTTGTTGAAAATGTCTCAATGAGCACGTCTTTTCAATAATTTCTGTACAGATTAGATTTTAAATGATACCTATATCTAAAAATTATAGAATTGGTTCACATTTTTACTAGATTGATTGATTGTATACTGTTTTACGTCCCTCTCCAGAATATTTCACTGATATGGAGACGTCCATTTTTACTAGAAGAATAAAGCACATATAAACATTTTTACTAGAAGAATAAAGCACATATAAACATAAAAAACTAATTCATTTCAAATTATAAGATAAAGACGTCTACTCTGAATGAAAATATAAATCCTCGCACCTCATGATCGCAAAGCATTTTCATGTTTCTTTACATATTTTGCTGAAACAGAGAAGAAGGTATTAAATAGTCCAGTATGCAAATAAATCTATTTTTATTTATACTGCATCGCCAATTTCAGATACTTCAAACTATGAGCTATGGTCTATTATTAAAATCATTTAAAGAGGCTGGGTGGTCGTGGCCATTTTTAGACTATTTTGATCTCAATTAGAAGAAGAGCTTCATATAGAGATATAATACAATGATCAAATTTTAAAGCTAAGATTTATGATTTTTTTTCTTTGTCAAATGATAGTAGACAGCTTAAGATATCATATCCCAAAATTTAAGTTATATCAGGTGGTTAATAAAAAATAATAATTAGTTGACCCACTAGCCTCCTTAACAGTAAATGAAATTTTGAATTTGCATGAGTTAGTCGGTTTGCATGATCCAAAAATTTAATCTTTTGCATTAAAAGGGGTAGGGTATACCGTCATTACTTGTAAGTTAGGGATATAGCCATCAAAAATGTCAATCCGTTACTTAATTTAATCTGCCTGATTTTATACTAAAGTATTAGAACGCGTAAGAGATGTATTTATGTTGTTTAAATACACTTTACATTTTCAAAATTATTAATTCATGCCCAAAACATGATGAAAAAAGGAGCCTATATGCAATATTTCTGACCTAAGAGAGACAACCTCTAATTACATAAACATCGCTAAATCAAAGTACATATGAATACTTATAGAATTGATTTTGTTTTATTCAATAGAAAATAAAGTAATGAAGGTAATTGGGGGTAGTTAATTTATTCATTATTTGAATCGATGAATTCTGAACACAACAGGAAGAATCAAGACCTTTTAGTTAAAACTGAAAGGCGGCTTTCAATGACTTTTCAGTTTCAGTGGCCAATCAGCCACTGAATGACACATACATATCAGGGACCTTTCATTAATAGTTCAGGTACCTTTTACTCATCATTCAGTGAACACATTTCCGTCGACTTTCCGTGACATTTCCGCCGACTTTAAGTGACCTCTCCGTAGACTTTCAGTGACCTTTCTGTCGTCTTTTATTGACCTTTCTGTAGTTTTTTATTGACATTTCCGTCGTCTTTCAGTGACCTTTCCGCCCCTTTCAACAGTGACTCTTTAGTCTCATTTCAGCCATATTTCTCAATGGCTTATTAGTTTATGATAAGATATTTTCCCCTAACAGTATTTTGAATAAATTCATTATTTGTAATTATGGTTATAAGTTCCATTGTCTTAAAGTGTTTCCTAAATTGTTAAACTGATTTTAGATTTTAAGAAATTGTCTAAATAATTATCATAAATTTATGAAATAAATGATACTTATTAAAATTGATTTCGAGCTTTCAAATTAGATTTAGAAAACACGAGATGTTTAAGTGATATAAGATAATGATCCGATAGTAAATGTGGTATAGAGTTGTCTTAATTTTTCTTTCTGTTAATGTCTGAGTCGGGGATAAATATTCAATTTAATAATTTATTAAATTAATAAGTATTGAGTCAATCTGAATTTAAAAAAAAAAATCGAGGATTTCAGTCAAAATGCTCTAAATGTAATCAAGAAAGCAAAATTTGTAGAGCTCAAATATAGATTTCATTATTCTTAATATATATGCAATGTGAAGACATACGTGTATACACCTCTTCCTCCCGCTCTCATACCGTGCTTTCATTATTCTTACATGTACATGTATGTTAATATAACACATTTTATTGTGCTTATATTTTTCAAGGAAATATCTAGTATTGAACGATGAGACAGAAATGATATTATTTACCTTTTCTAAATGAACCTTAATATCATACATTTAACAGGTTCCTTGATGAAGTAAGACACTTCTTTGACATATACATATACGAGTCTTTTTCTTGCTTTTAACGATACTAACGCTCTTCATTATTCATGTTATTAGGGCAATGATTTTCACAAATAAAAGTTTAAATACATGAAAATCTTGAATGTGTCAAAACCGGCTGAGCTATTGTTAAAGCATCTACCCGTTCATAAAGCTCAAATTTATCTGATGGGCTGTATCCCCAACACATATGAGATAAAAAATAAAATCTTTAGAAGGTAAATAATGTTATTTTGCTCTTAAGATGAAGAAGAAGACAAGTACCAATTCTTTTTAAATTTTCTTAAATAACAAAATTTCGAGACAATTTAATACCCTTACTGAAATTTGGAATAAAAAAAAATTACAATTATCAGAGAGGTGGAAATATATACTGTGACTGTTTTCATTATTGAATAATATTGATAGGGTCTGAGAAGAATAATTGCAGAAAACATACAATAAATACGATGGGATAGTGAACTGCGTGGCCCTATCTGGATTCCATATGTACGTCAATAAGAACATATATTACAAAAGCAAAATGAAATTGGAGACGTCACTACAGAAAGTTTAAACAACCTGATGGAATCGATTGGGAATACTATGAATGTATGATTTAATTAAATAAACACATATTTTGAACAAAATAAAATTCGAAAATAGAAAGTAAACTATAAAGAGTTGATAAAAAATTCGAAAAGTTTATGAATTTGTCGACGAAAGTACAAAGCATAAAAAGGGATCTTCATGGAATGAACAAAACATCTAATGATTTCAAAGAAAGTATTCAAGGATTAAACAATATATTTGATGACGGAAAGGAAGGCGTATCAAATTCTATTAAACAGTTTCTTGACATGAAATCTCGCATGGGCATGGAAGAATTTTAGAACAGTTTCAGTAAATGAAGATTTGAAAAAAAAAGAAAAGAAAGCACATCTAATAATGAACTTCTTTCAAAATTAATAACAGGCCTGAGATGCTGGTCAATGAAGTACAATCTAACTATCATAGGCATAATGGAGGTCAAAGGCGAAAACACCGAGGTAGTGCTTAGAGAATTTTTCTTCAAACAACTCAGAATCATAGATTACAAAGAAAGAGCCGATGTACACTGAATTCGAAGGAAACACATGAATAAGCCACGACCCATAGTAGAAAAGTTGATATACCGACGGGAATTTGACTCTAGCATGAAGTCAGCGTACTAATTGAAAGACAAACCTTTCCAAACTAAAAGACAGTACCTAGAAGAAATAGAACAAACCAGGGAAATTCTATTCACAGTAATTAAAGAACCGTGACAGAATGGCGAACGAGTGTAGCAAGTCAGAGATGATTATATGTCAATGGGCAACCATATGACCCGATCGCAAAAATTGAAGTTACCTCAGAATCTGTGTAAGAAACCCATAGTATACTTCGAACTCCGGGAGTCCAGGCATAGAAAGCTTATAACATCTTCTTCGGAATGGAAATATGGGCAGGCAGGGGATCATGTTGACACTTGTAAGAACTATCCGTCTGGTGTTCTTATCTAAGATAGTTGTGACTTTTGTAATGTGTTAGTTTATTTTCAATTAAAGTAATTTTTTGCCGGACGTATTGATAGGGATTGGTAAATCTATTTATCTATAGAGGTATATTATTACCTTTTAGTATAAAAAAG